GGGAGCGATTGTGCTGTCATGCCTTCATTTGACCTCACTAAGTGTACAAGTACTGATTTTTTTGCCGTCCCTTGCTCCCTACGCATCACTGACGATAAGGAGGGTGGCAGTTTAATACTCATCAGTCCCTTAGAGGCGAGAGACTCAAACCTCGTGCTAGAGGAGTCGACGCATCCTTCAAAACCATCCAGAGATTAAGTATTCTTCCTTCCCGAAATAACCAAACTCCCAATACTCAGTCTTGCTGAAGAGAAAAGGAGGAGAAGAAAGTTCTACAGTATAATTATCCCAATTTCAAAGTCTGGCTTTTGGAAGTGTAAATGAGGGGTTATTCTGTTGACAAATCGTAGCCAAAGTGTAAGGAAGCCTTCAACAATTACTATAAACAATATTTCATTAGGAAAGTGTTGTGGAGAGATAATTCTCCTCTGGAAGTTTATTTAAATGCTCAAATTTGTACTACTGCTCTGGGCGGTTTTTGATAAGTTGATCCATCTTTCTATTCATAACCTCGTTTATCCTCATTCTTGAGGATATCTAGATAGCAGATAACCACGAAACACTATATATGTGGGGTTAGGGTTAGGGTGATCGAGCAGCGAGGGCACAGCGGTGGCGCGAACACCTGTGGGCATTTGAAGCCGGTTTAAGAAGGAATAGAATTTCATCGCCACTGACTCATCCTTTGCCTCACATTTAGGCGGCAAAGGCGCGTGTCAGGAGGGTGAAAGAAAGATAACACCCCCATCGCCGCCGTCGCCACCACACGGAAGGAGCTCAAATAACGAACATTGGCAGAAATATCTCGTTAGTGCTCGGACACGTTTAGCTGAAAACACCTTAGTGTTGGTAATTGAGGCCTCCAGCATTTCACCTCTTAGCACCTTTCAGTCTTGTCCATTATGTGTGAAGTGGTGAAAAGGAGACAGGATTTCACAAATTGAAGGGCTTCATCCAAAGAAAGCAGCAGGGGGATATGAAGTTTAGCTGAATTGAGAATGGAGTAGTTTTTTCTAAATTAAGCTGCATATTTGCAAAACCTGCTCGCAAATGAGGCAGTAACAAATTATTCGATGAGTATTTGGTATGCTTAAGTGACACCCTGACTCTAATGCGCTTTTAAGTGGCAAAGCATTAAAGTTCGTGCAGTAGCCATGATTTCTTTCTTCAGTTTTATAGCTGAATAAATCAAACGTCAATTCATTTCAAACGGTTAATCTTGGTCATGGACAACTTCAGCGCTCAAAAACATGGCTACCAGAGACTGAAGCAAATAATGAGGATTCGACAACAAGTACCACCAGAGTGCATGGGTAAACTGACTAAATGTTCAGCAATTATTGAATTTAAAAGTTTTCGCAAAAGTAGGCAAATCTATCAGCTCGTTCGGAATTTAAATCCCACGGGAAAATTAGGCACTGCAGCTTCCAAAATGGAGGCATCCTATTTGAACTTGTGCAATTATGGAAGGAATTAACTCAGTCCTTCCTTAGGAGTGCTCTGCATTTGGTCTACTTCCAAAAAGGGCATCTCTAGTGCCAGCACCACAGAGGTCATATATGCAAACCTACCCATTTGTAAAGGGGACAAGCAAAGTATTTCAAGTCCACAATCGGCTGAATTAT